CATGACCAACCATTCCGGCAGGGGAGTCTGGGCAATAAGGAAAAAGACTTTTGGTAAAAGCCAACCTCCCAGTGTCTGTCTCAGACGGAAGAGTAGCGAGGAAGAAATGCCCTAAAGTCACCCACTGAAATAGGAAGCTTATCCCCTCAAAGATAAATGTCTCATTCTAGACAAGGCAGTACATAAACCGCTTTCTGGTTAGTGTCCAGTGTTGTCTCCGAACAACTTGGCTACAGCCAGGCAGAACAAAGATGCTTTCTGAGAAAGAGTCTATAGGAAGAAAGGCATTATCTGAACCGGAGATGGCCTGACTGAAGAAAGCTTCGCACACCTCTGCTTGGCTAACTGCTACCTGATTCTTCAAATCTCAGTAGGTATAGCAATTCCTTCAGAAGGCCTACCTTGGTTTTTTATATTAAATTATATGTCTTTACTAAATGCTCCCAGGTAACCTTGAAGTTATCTCTCATAACATCTCTCTTTCTCATTTTTAAGGCTTATCTGATGTCTTCCTTTCCCACTAGACATGTAATTTCTCTGAGGATACAGTCCATATTTCCAGAACACTTAGCACAACATCATGTATACATAATAGATGCTCAGTAAATGAATGGAATGAAACTCATCTGGCTCTCCTACTAATACGTTGTTCTCCTTTGTAAGTTATTACATTTATCATCTGGTTTCCCCCACTAAATTATTAGCTTTATGAGAGCAGGAAGTAAGTCATTTTGATTCACTGATGTATCACAAGCATTGATCCTCGTGCCTAGTATATAGATATGGGTAAAGATATTGAACACATAATTACTTTAGTTAATTTATGTGACCTCCCTGACCCTGTTTCCTGATCTGTAATGATAATCACCTACAAAGTAGTATGATGATTGAATTTCTGGCATGTATAGAACTCAGTAAATATTCATTGTTTTCTTCCACACTGTGACCCGTAGACTGAAGCCCAAGGGTTTGCGATAAGGACAAAAAAAGAAAAACAGGCAACTCGGGGAATTTATCTGGGATTTAGCCTCAGGAATTTAAACCTGCAAAAGGTCTGTAACAGGAATAAGTGTAAGTATTAGTTTTCTAGGGCTGTCATTCAAAATACCACAGACTGGGTGGTTTAAACAATGGAAATTTGTTTTCACAGTTTGGAGGCTGGAAGTCCAAGATCAAG